CCGCGTGACAGGCCACAGCCAGAGAAAATTTCTGACGCAGGCCTGGCGTTACTAGGCTGGACGACCATCTTGTTTAACTTAGCAACGACGGTGCTTGTTTCACTTGCAAAAGTTTCCGCCGATACACGTCTCGAACTCGCGTCGCTGGATTACGGAACGGATATTCGGAACTTTGGGTCTAGGCTGGCGGCACAACGAAGGATGCCTCTCAATGGACCATCGCCATTTTTAAGGGGGGCCGGGGAACTTATTTCATAAAAATAAGTCTCTAAGCCGCATATGCGGCAAAACCCAAACATACACATCTCTTTAAAAAAAACCCCACCCCCACCCCACCCACCCACCCCCACACACCCCCACACCCCACACCCCCTCTATTACTACTGATGGATTGCAATTGTTGAGTCTATTGCTCAGCACAAAGTACAGGAAGTACCCAGATTCGTTTGCTTTGATTTAGAGTTATCCACCCCTGTTACATCTTAAGCAAACACAGCATGCGACTCGGAGTTTGAAATTGTGAATAAGTTTGTTTTAACTGTTTACTTGATCCGGGTTTCAAGTTTCTTGTCAGTTATTAAAAGAGACTGAAACTGCTTCAACTTGTTTTTATTTCATATAAACTATACATTATTTTGGGAAATGACTTCAAATGAGACAATTCAAGGAGAAAGAACTATTGCAATAGTGTTGCAATAGTTGGTCGCAATAGACAATGGCTATCGCAATAGTTGTTATCCCCCTTAATAGTCACCCTAATCAGAAGAACTCCCTCCCGCCTGTCAGTGAGGTTTTCTCTACTTTCTGCACTTGTGTTGCTATGGGAACAACCAAATTTGCACTACTTACTTCCTGCACTTATTGCTTTATGGCTCGAAAAGCGTGGCTTGCCAGACGATGTTAAAAGATGTAGAACTGCAATCACTTCCTGGTCTCGGCTGCTACTCGTCTTCGCATGCGCAGCCACCTCAGCCACCTCAGATTATTGCTTTCGCACGCCTCGCTAGACGTGTGGGTTGCCAGCTTTTCATTGTATCCTACGGGATTTTTTTTGTGTGTGGTTAATAAACTGACTTTGTGTGAATTATTATCTTTTCTTCTACGAGAAGTGTAGGTATTATCTTTCACTTTCTCTTGTTATTTTAGTTAAGTAGTTCTGTTTAGTGATGTCGTTTGCTTATAACACGGTCCCGTCATTACTCTATCACTTCACCATTTCAACACTTCGCCGTATTTGTAGTCGTTGTGTTTTATTTGGTTCATGCTTATGTATTATACCATACAGTAGTGGTATATTTTATTATGTCTGAATTATGGTCTCTTTATCATTCAGTTCCTTGAGACGTTGTTCTTAATTATGCTGTTGTATTCATGACCATTGTCTGTAATGTTTTATGTGCGTTCACTGGATTTTCTGCTTTATTGCAGATCCATGTACAGCGCAAGTTGTATACATTGTAAGGGTGGGAAGTCTCTTAAAGACCCTCATCCCCGATGTTTGAATTGTACCAATCAATGTTCCTTTGGCCATAAATGTGCCAGCTACACTGTTCTTTCACCCAAGGGTTTCTCCATTTATCTCCAGGTTTCTAGGAAGCGCCTAGGGCAACAGCGACGGAAGAATATGTTTTCTACTATGGGTAGCGTTACCTCGACGCTGGTCTTGACGACCGCTACATCTACATCCAGTGTTGCAGCGTCCACTGTTTCTCCAAGTGCGTCTGTCACCAGCATCCAGATGATGACCTCGCCTCTTATGTCACCGTGCGTTACAGCATTTGGTGCTTCGACGCTTGGAGCTCTGGCGCTTGGGCGCTTGGTGCTTGGGCGATTGGCGCTCCTTCGCCTCCTACATGGTTGCCGATGTTGTCACCGCAACGGCAGATGGGTCAACAGTTTTCGCCGTGTCAGGCGCCCCAGGCTCCTGTCTTGCAGTCCTTTCCAGTGTTCCCGGGGCAGGCGTCTTATGCATATCACCCGTCTACAGGTTTTCCAATGCCTCAGGCGTCTATGATGCAGACGTCATACGGCCAACAGCAGTTTGATGTGTCCATGCTCAGCACTCTCTTGACTTTTTTATAAGGTCAAGCTGGTACCTCAGCGCCTATGCCATTTATGCCTCTAGGAACATCAGCGCCTTTGCCACCTCTGCCACCTCCGACGCTTACGGCGTCTATGCCTCCTCCGGCACTGGTTCCTATCCTGTCAACTGTGTCAGCCCCTGTGCCTACGCCAATGTCTCCCATTGCTTCCACGTCTTCGGCAGGTGACCATAGGTCTTCTTCTCAGGCGTCGTCTCAACGTAGCCGTTCCCCCCTGCCGTTTCGTTCATCGGCCACTGTCTGGGCAAAGTCCAAGCCATGAATAGGATAGTCATCACGTCGGACTCTAGGCGCTTTAATAGTTGGATTGAGAGACATCCCCGCGAAATCCTCATCAAGTGTAGATAGAATCTCCCTGACCGCCTCATGTGTCGGTAACATTAAGGAAGGCGAGTCCCAAATAGTAAGCGACTTTGCAACATCAGGTTGCAGGGACTGAGGCTACCGAACAATCAGCAATCCAGTCAAACACGTGATCAAAACCAAGGTGATTAGATCCCATGTCCTCCTCATAGTCTGGGGCAAAGTCTCTCTCTGAGGACGGTGAACGAAACGGCAGGGGAGAACGGCTACGTTGAGACGACGCCTGAGAAGACGTATGGTCACCTGCCGAAGACATGGAAGCAACGGGAGACGTTGGCGTAGGCACAGGGGCTGACACATTAGACAGGATAGGAACCGGTGCTGGAGGAGGCATAGACCCACGTGGAGGAACGTTCTCGTGCACCCTCACAGTCATCTTCCGCATCCTGTTCCAGATCGGTTCAATCTGCACGCATGGACCATTTACAGAAAGTGCTGAGGCGTTTTCGGCCAGAGCAGCCAATGCCATTGCGACGGCGCACAGAACTTCTACTAGACACTTGTATGACGACAAGTGGCAGTCGTTTGAACGATTTTGTGTTACCAGGAAGCAGGATCCGCTGAAAGCATCTCCTCAGTTCATAGCAGATTTCCTACTTTATCTCCGAACGTCCAGATGTCTGAAGGGAGGCACCAATGCCACGTATTTGGTGGCAATTAGCTCAGTTTTAGCGGTTCCCACTGACAGAAGGATTTCCAAAATCCCAGAATTACAGGCCATGCTTCGTTCGTTCAAACTTGAAGACCAGAAATTGAAGTTTCGACCGCCTGCATGGAATCTCAACACTGTTTTAGACCATCCACGTGGTGCACCTTATGAATCACTTGAGAACGCTTCCCTCGCTGATTTATCCAGGAAGACGGCTTTCCTTTTGTCTTTAGCGACAGCGACTAGAGTGAGTGAGATTCACGCCCACGACATGACTAGGTTCAAGTTTGAGCGTAGTCGTCATGGTTCTGTACATTTGGGTTTGTGTTGGGATTTCATCGCTAAAAATCAACTACCAGGTCAACCTGATCGACAGTTTTCCATTCCGCCATTATCATCTATTGTTGGCACTGAAGACGATACTGAGTTGTTCTTATGTCCGGTTTGTGCGCTCAAAACGTACATTGACCGCACCAAAGGCGTCAGTGGTACACGGAAACAGTTATTTCTTCCCCTACCCCGCTCGTCACAATCAGATGTCAGCAAAAACACAATTGCCTTATGGTTGAGAACGACCATTCTTCAGGATTATAAAGCAGCTGGGCTTGACCCTCCTACATCCTCTCATCCACACGAGATTCGAGCGCTTGCTTCGACTATGGCGCTTCACAGTAATTGTACTGTGTCGTCCATTATGCAAGGTTGTTTCTGGAGGTCGGACACAGTTTTTGCCAGTCATTATTGCGTGACATGGCTGTCAAGGACGTTAAACGATGTCCACAGCTTCGGACCATTGGTGGTTGCTCAGCAACTCGCCATCCCCCGAAGAAAGTGACCCTCCTGCCTTGTGTTTTCTTCCCAGGGACCACCATGTGGTGAATGTGTTGTTTTCTTCAGAAACAACTAGGTATGTCAGTTAAGGAGTTATACTTGTGTTTTCAAGTCCATGCTTTTTACTGCATTCCTTAAGCTTCGCCGGCTTTAAAATTAGTGGTTCTTTTCATTTATTCTTATTTGCGAATTACCACTGCCTGATCGTCACTCGCTGATTCGCTCTCTGTTCTAGGCGCATTACCGATGCTTACCGAGCATGGGATTTGCGGATTGAGCTGGCCCGCGATTATATAAGCGAGGCGATCCCTCAGATGACACGCCCACCTTCCAGCCTGTCGGATAAAGTGCAGGAAGTAAGTAGTGCAGGATTAGTTAAAAATTTAGTAAAATCTAAATATTTTTTATATTTGTATACTTATCCTGCATTACTTATGATAAGGGCCCACCCTGCGCTATCAGCTACCTCCCCTGCTTTGTTTGCCATCTGTGGGATTTCTGGCAATAATCTGAGGTGGCTGACGTCACCTTCCGGTGACACATGCGCAGACGAGTAGCAGCCGAGACCAGGAAGTAATTGCAGTTCTACGTTTTTTCGAGCCGTAAGCAATAAGTGCAGGAAGTAAGTAGTGCAGGATAAGTATACAAATATAAAAAATATTTAGATTTTACTGATTTTGGTTTACAACTATTATGAGTTATGGCTATACCTTAGGACACAGTTACTAGATGATAAAGGTTGTCGTGGCTTACAGTGTTGCTCTCCTTCAGTGCCTAAGATGTGAACACTTATAGATCAACATAGACTCTCACTCTGGCTCTGTGAGCCGATCTACCAGGCCATCAATGCATCTTCAGGTTTGATGAGTCCTGGAAGTAGTCACAGAGGAAGAAAGCAGCCAGGGAATGTTATTGGCTCTGATGATTTGTGAAGGTTTCATTGACACACTGATGACTGTTGTTGCGTTTTTCAGTGAGCCTTTCTCCTTGCACTGCCCTCCCCAGTGATTCATAAAACATGTATGTATGTTTATACTTTATTGAATTGTTTGCAGGTGAGGAGGCTTCAGAGTTTCTTTTTGAGGCTTTGTTGGAGATGGTGTCTCAGGTGGCTCAAGAAAACTACACCCTCGTGTGTATGGACGACTGTGACCTGGAGGCCCACACATCAGCAGCTGACTCCCAGGAAACAGGCCAGCGTAGTCCCAAGAGGAGAAAGCTGGATCAGGAGACATTCCATGCCAAGCTCAAGTGAGTTGTTTCCTTCAATGAACACTTCCTGTAGCATTCAATGACCTGACATGTTGCCATTGTTTATTATTTTGAATTTAATTTAAGCTGTAAACTGAATCTTCCATTATTAATCGATCAGTTCTAAGCTGTGAACTGATAAGTTACTGGGATAAGTAGGTGTACACAATTTTGGTGCTTTGAACTTGTGAAAATGATTACTCTTAACTATTAAATCAATGTCATTTGCAGATGTATAAAATGTACTGAGGAAAATCATTTGAGGATATCCCTGAAGAAACTCTTCCATCAGTACCAGGGAGACTACGGTGTACTGTTGTATCTGTATTCCATATTATTAACCAAGGTAAGACTGGCACAACCACCAGCTAACACCAGAGGAAGACAAATAATCCTGCTCCTCTGCAAGGATCCGTCATCCAAAATGTCTGAGATAAAGATTACCATGTGCCTTTGTATTTTCAACTGTGTACACATATTTTGCTCCAAGCTACCGGTGATTCAGTTGAAAATGATCTGATATTAAGTCTCAAGTCCATGGATGACAAGGCAGTAATGTGATTGTTGAGATTAATGTGAAATTGGTACTAATGTAGTGTGGGTGAAAAGTGAACCTTCATGGACAGGGTAATCTAGAATGAGAGGAAATAAGCAATGACATTTTCACCAGTGTTAATGTAAACTGTTATTACTGATTGAAAATGAAATGAATGACAAACAAGCCCCAAGTCTAGGAAGATTGTTGTATTATATATGTTTTCAGAAACCATATGTTTTTGGATGACAGTGTTTAATCACGCTATAACAAGATTGATTGCATCACGTAAACATTGTAAATTCTCGGCATGTCCTTATCATTAAGTTGTCTTGTATGATGTATGATGTCACATTGTTCCTGGGATTAACCAAGAAAACACCAAATTTTCTTAAGCTTTGGAAGATCCATAGTACAAGCATATACGGTGGACACTTTATATTTCTGTCTGCACTGAATTTCGCTAGTTAATCCTTAGAGCATGATTATCTTGAGCACAACAGCATATTTGCTGACAAGCTATTTCCGATGATGTAAAAAATGTCTCATTACTGGGGAACTATTTTATGGGAGTCATTAATTACCCCACGGTTTACCAAGTCTGTGGCATTGCGGACCGCGTTATTGCGAAGGATGACAAAGACAGATGACAGTTGTTCTCAAAGACAATTCCGTAAACCTTGTTCAGAGAATTTGTACATCAGTGATGGAGGTGAATGTTGGAACAGATACCCTCCTGATATGCAAGTTCACAGTTTAGCTGTACTTTAAAAACTATTTCATTGAAAAATTGTCTCCATCTTTGAATAGGTAAATGAGTTATTTGAACATTGTATTTATTGTTGTCATTGTAAGCAGCTTATGTAAAGTCATGTGTGTTTTTTATCATGTTTGTAGGGAATACAACAGGTAAAGAATGAGGTGGAGGATCCCTCAGAAGCTCTCATAGATGGCACATACGGCCATGGAAGGTAGATACTGTCATTCAGCTAATATATAGGTTGTTGGAAGGGCAAGATCAGGCTAATACAGCTAGAGTGTCAGTGGGGCAAGATCAGGCTAATACAGCTAGGGTGTCAGTGGGGCAAGATCAGGCTAATACAGCTAGGGTGGTAGGGGGGCAAGATCAGGCTAATACAGCTAGGGTGTCAGTGGGGCAAGATCAGGGTAATACAGCTAGGGTGGTAGGGGGGGCAAGATGAGGCTAATACAGGTAGGGGGCAAGATCAGGGTAATACAGTTAGGGTGGTAGGGGGCAAGATCAGGCTAATACAGCTAGGGTGGTAGGAGCAAGATCAGGCTAGTACAGCTAGGGTGTCAGTGGGGCAAGATCAGGGTAATACAGCTAGGGTGTCAGTGGGGCAGGATAAGGGTAATACAGCTAGGGTGGTAGGTGGCAAGATCAGGCTAATACAGCTAGGGTGTCAGTGGGGCAAGATCAGGCTAATACAGCTAGGGTGGTAGTGGGGCAAGATCAGGCTAATACAGCTAGGGTGGTAGGTGGCAAGATCAGGGTAATACAGCTGGGGTGGTAGGGGGCAAGATCAGGCTAATACAGCTAGGGTGGTAGGGGGCAAGATCAGGCTAATACAGCTAGGGTGGTGGGGGGCAAGATCAGGCTAATACAGCTAGGGTGGTAGGGGCAAGATCAGGGTAATACAGCTAGGGTGGTAGGGGGCAAGATCAGGCTAATACAGCTACGGTGGTAGGAGCAAGATCAGGCTAATACAGCTAGAGTGGTAGGGGGTAAGATCAGGCTAATACAGCTAGGGTGGTAGGGGCAAGATCAGGGTAATACAGCTAGGGTGGTAGGGGGGCAAGATCAGGCTAATACAGCTACGGTGGTAGGAGCAAGATCAGACTAATACAGCTAGGGTGGTAGGGGGTAAGATCAGGCTAATACAGCTAGGGTGGTAGGGGTAAGATCAGGCTAATACAGCTAGGGTGGTAGGGGGCAAGATCAGGCTAATACAGCTAGGGTGGTAGGGGTAAGATCAGGCTTATACAGCTAGGGTGTCAGTGGAGCAAGATCAGGCTAATACAGGTAGGGGGCAAGATCAGGGTAATACAGTTAGGGTGGTAGGGGGCAAGATCAGGCTAATACAGCTAGGGTGGTAGGAGCAAGATCAGGCTAGTACAGCTAGGGTGTCAGTGGGGCAAGATCAGGGTAATACAGCTAGGGTGTCAGTGGGGCAGGATAAGGGTAATACAGCTAGGGTGGTAGGTGGCAAGATCAGGCTAATACAGCTAGGGTGTCAGTGGGGCAAGATCAGGGTAATACAGCTAGGGTGGTAGGGGGCAAGATCAGGCTAATACAGCTACGGTGGTAGGAGCAAGATCAGGCTAATACAGCTAAGGTGGTAGGGGGTAAGATCAGGCTAATACAGCTAGGGTGGTAGGGGTAAGATCAGGCTAATACAGCTAGGGTGGTAGGGGGCAAGATCAGGCTAATACAGCTAGGGTGGTAGGGGTAAGATCAGGCTTATACAGCTAGGGTGTCAGTGGGGCAAGATCAGGCTAATACAGCTAGGGTGTCAGTGGGGCAAGATCAGGCTAATACAGCTAGGGTGGTAGGAGCAAGATCAGGCTAGTACAGCTACGGTGGTAGGGGGCAAGATCAGGCTAATACAGCTATGGTGGTAGGGGCAAGATGAGGCTAATACAGCTAGGGTGGTAGGGGGGCAAGATCAGGCTAATACAGCTACGGTGGTAGGGGGGCAAGATCAGGCTAATACAGCTACGGTGGTAGGGGGCAAGATCAGGCTAATACAGCTAGGGTGGTAGGAGCAAGATCAGGCTAATACAGCTACGGTGGTAGGGGGGCAAGATCAGGCTAATACAGCTAGGGTGGTAGGAGCAAGATCAGGCTAATACAGCTAGGGTTGTAGGGGGCAAGATCAGGCTAATACAGCTAGGGTGGTAGGAGCAAGATCAGGCTAATACAGCTATGGTGGTAGGAGCAAGATCAGGCTAGTACAGCTACGGTGGTAGGGGGGCAAGATCAGGCTAGTACAGCTAGGGTGGTAGGGGTAAGATCAGGCTAATACAGCTAGGGTGGTAGGAGGGCAAGATCAGGCTAATACAGCTACAGTGGTAGGGGGCAAGATCAGTCTAATACAGCTACGGTGGTAGGGGGGCAAGATCAGTCTAACACAGCTACGGTGGTAGGGGGGCAAGATCAGTCTAATACAGCTATGGTGGTAGTGGGGCAAGATCAGACTAATACAGCTACGGTGGTAGGAGCAAGATCAGGCTAATACAGCTAGGTGGGTAGGAGCAAGATCAGGCTAATACAGCTAGGGTGGTAGGGGCAAGATCAGGCTAATACAGCTACGGTGGTAGGGGGGCAAGATCAGTCTAATACAGCTACGGTGGTAGGGCGGCAAGATTAGGCTAATACAGCTAGGGTGGTAGGAGCAAGATCAGGCTAATACAGCTACGGTGGTAGGGGTAAGATCAGGCTACTACAGCTACGGTGGTAGGGGGTCAAGATCAGGCTAATACAGCTAGGGTGGTAGGGGGCAAGATCAGTCTAATACAGCTACGGTGGTAGGGGGCAAGATTAGGCTAATACAGCTAGGGTGGTAGGAGCAAGATCAGGCTAATACAGCTACGGTGGTAGGAGCAAGATCAGGCTAATACAGCTAGGGTGGTAGGGGCAAGATCAGGCTAATACAGCTAGGGTGGTAGGAGCAAGATCAGGCTAATACAGCTAGGGTGGTAGGGGCAAGATCAGGCTAATACAGCTAGGGTGGTAGGGCAAGATCAGGCTAATACAGCTAGGGTGGTAGGAGCAAGATCAGGCTAATACAGCTAGGGTGGTAGGAGCAAGATCAGGCTAATACAGCTAGGGTGGTAGGGGCAAGATCAGGCTAATACAGCTAGGGTGGTAGGGGCAAGATCAGGCTAATATCAACCTGATATCAACATGCACACCTATTTGCCATGAATCTTACGTAAATGAAATGAATTATTTCAAACCACCTGAATATATTTTTTAGGATAAGACTTTTGGTTTATAATTATATGGCTATTTCTCTTCATAGGTATTCAATGAAAGATGCAAAAAGATAGTTGATTTTGTATGGAACTATTAAAATAATAATGTCAGGTTTGTCTGAAGGAAGACATGGCATGGTTTATATATTTTTAACAATTCTTGTGGAAATACAGTTACAGGTTGATGTCCTGTCCTTACTATATTGTTTTCATGAATATATGGATTATATTATCAAAAACAATGCGCACCTGGCCAATTATTATACATCATTGTGTCAATGAACAAGACGATTCTTTTTAGAATGTGTGCATATATATTTCATCATATATATATATATATATATATATATTCATTTTCATTGATATTGTCAGTTTTACTTATATGGTTAAATTAGATCGCTGTTCATTAACCTGTTATATGACATTACAATGTTGAATATTGCACATCATAATAACTAAAGTACATGTTGCAGTTTGCCTACCTTTCATCTTCTAACATTTGTAAATGTTAAACATATGGTGTACTATGCTAAATATGTCAATTTTTATGTAAATAGTATTCAAACTAACAAAACCTTTCAAAGCATAAATAAATGTAAAGCCTATATCCTTGTATTGCATCTATATTTGAATTCAAAGCATAAATAAACGTAAAGCCTATATCTTTGTATTGCATCTATATTTGAATTTCTGTTTCTTGCTATGATACTCTTTCCATGCATATTCCAAATGTATTGAGCCAGTGCATGCAACAAATAGACGAATGGATGTCTGAAAAGTTGAGAAAATGCTACACAGTGTAAATACTGAATGTTTGCAATGTCTTGGATTTGGTATAGTATACTACATTTATGACGAACATGCTTATTTTATAGTTTATAATGAACTGATGGTTATGCCAAATTATTTAATTGTCCTAGCCACTTACTGTTTATTTTACCTGAAATGCATATAACAAACTACAGTTATATCAAAATCAAATTAGTGGTTGTCTTTGAGTATGTTATGATCGTAGTTTACTGTGTGGAGATGATTCGGTATCATCATCATGTTGTTTTCAGGTTTGTGTGAAACCATTCCTAACATGTTAGAATTATAGAAGTATGTTTCTGAGAAATGTTTAACCTTTTATATCTTCATTCTGCAAGAACACCAGCATTTTCACCATAGTTATATTTTTACTGTAGTTTTGCAAACTTCAGTCAGACTTTTTCATAACCTAACAGAATCCAAACAGCAAGATTCTATTCATGAATGGAACTGTGAGTAAATGGCCACATATGATAACATTACAATTTTTCCACATTTGTTGCAGCCAGAGTTTGATCAATCTCCTCCTAACGGGCAAAGCCATCTCCAACGTGTGGGACAATGATAAGGATGTGTCTGGTTTACGTAAGTCATGAGGGCATCTAGCATTCACCTTCAGTTTGCTCCACTGCACCGATGTCAAGTTTTTGATAGGACACAAGTTCATGGCACTGTTTGATGGATAACTACTTTTAATTCTTTTTAACAATGCTTCAATTATAATTTTTGCCTTTATCTGGTGTATACTGGTGGCAGGTACAGTGTGTGTGCATGTCTCTGTGTAACAAAGATAACTGGAAAGTACAGTGAGTGTGTAGTGATAGGACTGAGTGTAATAACAAAGATTTGCTTGTGGTAACACTAACAAACAGGGTCTAGAATTAGCTTATTGGAAATACTGTTGCTGTGAATTATCGGTAAATATGTTGAGCTAGCACTTTTCACGAGGTATTTCAGGTATATCGATTTAAAAAATATCTTACTCTTTTTGGTGCCCCCCATGACGAGATATAGGAATTATTAATATTCCAGGTATTTATGTTTAAATCAGTACTTATAAATGGCGGAAAATAAATAATGAATAAATCAAAACTTTTGAAAATATCTCGTTGGAATAATTTTGCTTGTGAATAAATCAAAACGTTTAAAAACATCTTGGAATATTTTCCATATTCAACGCCCCCTCGTTTTGTAATCTTTATTTCTTACACACCCGTGGGTGAGAAACCCATGTGAGAAAACTGGTATCACACATATGTGTGAGATCGATTTCTAATCCTGTGATTGGCTACTCTATGGTGATGACCTAGGGTCAGGTAATGACGGACTACTTTCCTGATTAAAATTCATTGATAAGTTACTCGTGCTTCAATCGAACAGAAACATGTTACTCTTGCAAAAAAAACCTTTACACCTACCTGTAATTTTCACGATTGCAACATAAATAGGTATCTATACAATGAGTCACAAGTAGAATAAATATAACACGAATCTATTTATTTTCTAATTCTTTTTATTTAATCTTTTGATTTCTAGTCATGAATTCAAAATGGCTCGAACAATCAGTGATACCTGTGTAAACAATTATGTGAAAATCACCGTTAGTGATAAAGCCCGGGATTCCCTTCGAATATTCAAACTGTACAACATTGGTACTTTTACGGGAGAGATGCGACAAGTGTCATATGTCGTCTTGCAAAAATACCTGACACGATAACGTCAGTGCCTGTCCATTGTGAGATCGATTTGCCTCATTTCTTTGATGCATTGATGAAGACGACATTTTTCACTGATAAACATGATGAAGACCCACTTCCAGCTCCGAGATACTATGTGATTCCAATGTGACAATCAGAACCAAAACACACTCGTTGAAACAATGTACAACATGGAACGTTTTGCAAGGCTTTATGAGTGCAAATGGCGGCACACGTCTTTTCTATTTTTATCGAACATGTACAGGAACCGTTGATCTACACAAAAGTCATTGCTCAAGACATTCCTCCGACGCATGATAATGAAAAGTTTATGTCTTGATAACATACAGGATGTAATCAACTCACATTTCGTACTGAAAACTCCGTAAATTCCATTACATTCCATTCGGGAAAACGAGAAGGCTGTGGCGAAGAAGAGTAGTCCCCCATTGACAGTAAACGTAACCTCAGCAATGTCACATTCAAGCACACTGGGTGCACCTAATTACACACACTCAAAAGTTTTGGCTCCAGTCGATGGAAGAACATTGAACGTAAACTAGTATACACAAGTGCAGGTCTCTAATGTGCAGAGATAAACAAAACAATCTTCTGATGACGACAACCACCAAGCGATGACGATGACGTCACACGCTCAAATATTTTACGCTTGCAATAATTAAAATCATCCACATTTGCATTGTAACATCATCGTTTTAGAGGGTTATAATTTATAATTTTCTGTGATCTTATCTAGTTATCATTATCACTATTGCCTTGATGTTGCGAAGAGGTGGCAGAAACTTTTTTGTGGAGGGTCACCATGGGAATGAGTAGTGATTAGGAAACCAAGTGACGTCACTCATTCATAAACGTTGTGTTGTGTATTATTGGCGCACCTACGATGAGAAAAAATGAAATTTGAATCTATTCGACCATAAAATGGTGCGATTTTATGGTGTGTAAGAAACAGATTTACTGTACTTTCGTGTCTGTCAGATACCATTTATCTTACAACTGTTGTTTCAAAACGTATTTAACTCGCTATCGCTCGTTAAATACGTTTTGAAACAACTCGTAAGATAAATGGTATCTAACAGACACTCGTTTAGTAATCTCTATATATACCATCAGTAACAGCCATCTTGGATTTCCCTCACAAGTTTCACACATTTGATTTTCAACAATGGTTTGAGTTTATTCATCAGTAATTGCAATATGCAAGTGCATCATTTTAAAACAAATCTGTAAGTCAATAGATATTACAGTAACCAAATTCAAGATTTGAAGAGTTGTCTCCCTTTGACCCTTTCTGACATCATACAAAGAAAAACTGCTATGAAATCCCAAATGACACTTTACTTGTGGCTTTTGTACGTGCTGAAAGCATCTAAAGCTAAAGCACTAGTTTTAATCGTGTATGTTACATGCATGTAATGTCAGCAAGATATTTTTTCTGCTATGCAGACTCTTTTTTCTTTAAAATACACATTATTTAGAAGAAACGCTATTGCAAATGTTTATGAATGATGGCTAAAGGAGGGGATATTGTCATGTTACAGTGTTTCATCTCTTAAGATTACATAAAATATTTCGCAGGAACTGGTGGTTAGCTCAGTCGATAGAGACGTTAGGAAATCGAAACAAAATACATGTAGCTGTTTCAATCCGACTATTTTCAAAATATTTGCTGTTGCTTATTTTGTTTGTAATGATATTACTAGATATGTGTGGTTGCTAAGGTTAATCAGTTACATAAGGGGGGCGGTGGGGTAGCCTAGTGGTTAAAGTGTTGGCTCGTCACGCCAAAGACCCGGGTTCGAATCCCTACATGGGTACAATGTGTGAAGCCCATTTCTGGTGTCCCCCCACTGTAATATTGTTAAAAGTGGCATAAAACTGTACTCCTCACTCAGCCCAGCTCATTATTGAATGTGATATAGGTCACCTTGTTGGGTTTCTTTGATTGTACAGTCTACACAGTTACAATATGTAGTACCGTTAGTATGTGCAAGGTGGGTTTTTTTCAGACACGTATAACCTGTTTAATGTTTATGTTGCTTGTTTTGCCATTTGATGCTTGATATATCCTATATCCTGCTAGTATCTAGTACATTATAGATGCTTAGTGTTTGAATGTAAACCCTGAGCTTGTAACATGTTAACATATTATATGTGTATGCACGGTATACTAGCTCGGACATCAGGAGTGCTGGGACTTACGGAGTCCCTCATTTTTCCGAGTACCCTCAGCCCTGCCTCTGTTACACCATTTCCGTAAGACCCGTGAAGGTCCAGGTTAGAATATTGATCTTCAGTGACCCATGCTTGTCGTAAGAGGCGACTAACGGGATCGGGTGGTCAGGCTCGCTGACTTGGTTGACACATGTCATCAGTTCCCAATTGCGCAGATCGATGCTCATGCTGTTGATCACTGGATTGTCTGGTCCAGAATCGATTATTTACAGACCGCCGCCATAAATCTGGAATATTGCTCAGTGCGGTGTAAAACTAAACTGACTCACTCATTTCCGTAAATTCAGCATTCGTGTTAAAATAATGTTGTATCAATCCTCATATATTCAACAGACGTCCTCTTTACTGTCATCTATTCATTATCAGTTGTGCTAGTAATATCACACATAGTATTCAGCCATTTCAAAACTTCCACTCATGTACAAGGCAGAAAATCCTGATTCCTTTCTGTGTGTGGTAGAGTCAATCCATATAATATTTTATTGTCTTAGCCCAGGTCTTTTGGTCTTTTGGCTCTTTTGGTAGTTATCTTGACTTCGTTAATTTTGTCTTTGCTTAAACTGAAGTAATGCCAGCATGAAACATATTTAACTGAATAAAAGGAAAAGGATATAATTTAAATGGTTAATCGTTATGTCTTGTGATGTTTTATCTTAAATTTCACATTTTTATTGGCCATTTATACATCTACTGGTGACACTACTGGCAACAGTGGCTGTGTAGCTGATTCAACATGTATTCACAGCCATTTTTTGGCCAAGGCTCCTTAAATACAATGTTTATACCTAATGCAGGATATTAACCATCCCAAAACACACTCGCGTGATGACCTATATATACCTTTTGCACTTTGTGGGTATTGAACCTTTTTGAGGGTTTTTTCCCCCAGAAGTTTGTACTCCTATTAATAGTCCAACAACTAGAACATTATGTATGGGATAGTTAGGCACCCAGTTATGTATGAAAAAATCTATGATATCATGCAGGCTTGTTCTAGCTATAAACAAAGCCTGTTGATGTTTCTGTGTCCTTTATTCCTGCCATCACCCATAAAACCATTTCAATTTTCTGTATGAAACCAAACAATTAGCCAGACTGAACTAAATAGTTAACAGATACTCTAGCGTGTTTGAATCAGGGATTTGAATTTTTCTTCAACAGTCTGTAACCTGTCCAACTTTATGTTTGATGTTAGAAACCACTGATCCATCAGTTTTATTCTGGCAATGATGTAACGGAGGTTTGGTAATTCATGGTTCATAATTCAGGAATACCACCTCTGTTACATCATTGGGAAAATATACTAGGATGGAAGGAATTGAGATTTTCAAACTTTGCACATATGCTGGTGCTTTTACTGGCAGGTAGTTTTACTCACACAACTAATTATGGATAGTTGACAGGGAAGAGTACTTCTGTTGCATATCTGAATTTTCTATAGTGTTTATCAGCCAAAATGCAGCATATATGGCAAAGATATAATGGGAACGGTATAGTTTGAATCATTTACAAAGATATTTGTTATTTGAATTAAGTATCTGTACATAGATTCTATAATTAAGCATGAAAGATATGTTACCGTGTACTGTTTTCCTTGTTACATGTTTGTTATTATCCAGGACTGCAAGGCATCAAGAAACAATCCCCTGTGGGCTTCCTTACGTTGTTGGAGCACCTGCGCTACTGTGAGGTGAATTACGCAGTGACTTACCTCTCATTTTGATTTGGACTCAATTTGTTTGAGCATTTTTATCTCGTTAATGAAGAGACTAATGTATACCATTAAAAAGTACTTACTGAATATCTCCAGTTGTGAAGTTGTTGAACTCCAGTGAAGTCCTCTTGTATGCTCTGCAAACATGCTAATTACAACACTTAGTTCTACAACCTGCTCCCTTGTGTTCCTGTCTGTTGTTCCTCCTAATATGTTGTAATGGTTTTATTCAGGTAGGCTGGTTCCTGAAGAACCCCAAATACCCAATTTGGATTTTAGGAAGTGAGACACACCTGACAGTCCTGTTCACAAAGGTAATTAAAGACATGGATTTGACACTTTACCATGCTTACATTCCTCAAATACTCAAATACATTGTGTTATGTGGCATGAGATTATTGGTGGTTATTTCAGATCAAGGTTGAGACATTGTCTCTAATGAGCACTGAGAAGCAAATAAGTGTTTTAAAGGTATCAGAATTGTTAGCTGTCACTGACCATAATAGCTTTGCACGTTCTCTAGAACACTGAGTGCAAGGTGTTGCAAAGATGCTTAGAGGTCACCCCCTTTGACATATTATTATTATCTACATGCCGGGGGGATATAGTCAACGCGTCGTCTGTCCGTCCATCTGTAAGCATTTTGTTTCTGGAGCATAACTGAAAAACTGTTCAATATTTTTCAACAGAAATTGGTAGATATATCAAACAGAACTGAAAGTGGTGCCTTTTGCTATTTGCAGATTTTTGTCAATTTTATTTTTCTTGGTTTCCATGGAAACAATTTGAACTTAACCGTTCGATATCTTTCTTCAAGACTTGGCGGATATATGAGGCAGATCCCAAAGTGGTGCCTTTTGCTATTTGCAGATTTTGGGCATTTTTACTTTCTCGGTTTCCATGGTTTGGACTTAGTCTCAAAAGGGAAGGGGATGGCTTCGTTTCCGGATCACAACTCGAAAACAGTTCAATATCTTTCTACAAGAATTGGTGGATATATCAAACAGATCTTGAAGGGGTGCCTTTAGCTATTTGCAGATTTTTGGCATTTATATTTTTCATGATTTCCACGATTTGCACGTAGTCAAAAGAAATTAAGTTGGACTTTAAGTAACTGTCAGATGATTTCTTCTTCAAATTTGTGGGGGCAGGGGGGGATTTGTCATCTTCTGATGAATCTTTGTTTTAAGACTATCTGACATTTTGAAATATGGAAGTAGCGATTATGCTTGATCAAGCTAATACTTTTATCTTAATAATTTTTCCTTATCCTGACTCATGCTAATTATGCTTGTCTCCTTCCTCTTGCGAATGATCGTGGAACACTTGAAATCCCTTGAAGTTCCCTTCTTAAAAAAGGAACGTAAAATCACTCACCCACGAGTAGCGTCGCTTTCCTCCATTTGGTGCCCAAATGGTCACATGATCGGCCATATTTGTCACTCTTTCCTTCTTCGCCCTTGAGGATGGTTGTGAGAGCACCTGGGTCCCTATACGGCACATATCCTTTTATATTTTGAAACCTTACATCAAAATTATTGCTGTATATGGTTTTTTAGGATTATATTCTACATTACGGTTTGAAATTTGATTTAAATTTTCCATTGTTTGACATGTGTTGTCTTCATGTTTACATTTGATGAAAACTTGTATTCGTTGTAGGTACCGAGTGTCTGCGGCTGACCCTCATTTATTGTGTCCTAATTGCACTGTTTCATGTTCATTCAGCTCTCGCTGTAAGTCTTGTGTAAATTTAAATTCGGTTGAATTTAATAATTACCTTTTTTCCATCCATAGACGTGCTAAGGACTGGGTACGTAGGTATTCACAAGTCATGTCTAAATCGAGTGATTGCGCTGATGACCGTGTGTTAACCACTGCTGCAGATATTCATAATTCTAGTGAATTGCTGAACGTTTCTCGGGAGCAGGTCGATGTACCAGGGGTGAACGCCGGAGGCCATAAGAGATCATTGTCTACTGAGCTGACCTCAGCGCAGATGAAGAAGGCTACTACCATGAAGACTTCAGCAAAATCTAAGACCAGCTCTACACAGAGGACGAGGTCTTTCTCAGCCGAGATTGTTCCTCAGGAAGAAGCAGAGGTTTATGATGATCCACCCATCTTCATACCTGAGGTCACCATCGTCAGTAAGAAGACCAAGCCTGCTTATACAGCTACATTGGCATTGGTATCAGCGCAGACATTGACAGAAGACGCAGACATCGGGTACCAGAGATAGCAGCAGCATCAACTCTTCACGAGTGCAGCGAGCCTTAGATGACATCTCTTCAGTAGCAGATGCGTCATCCCTGCAGCAGTCTCTTTAGACAACGCAGAACTTCAACCCGGGACTGTTCATGCAACAGTTTACAGACCAAATGATGTCGATGATGGAACGTCGCTTCGCTCAGGAGAAGGCTGCTATGAAGACCGCTACAACGACTACTAGCCTGCGTGAAGGCTCTACAGTCTCCCCACCACATCCGGATGAAGAGGGAAGCCTGCGCGAAGGCTCACGGACACGGCGATCTTCCCCATCTGAAGTGAGGAGTCTGGACTCCGTTACCAACGTAGACGCCCCAGAGAGTGCTGCTAAGAAGTCTCCACGCAGGAAGAAATCGAGGCGTTCTCCCGAACCCTACAGACGTCGCAGATATGAGTCGTCATCTCCATCGGACTCTGAAGCCCATCAAGAGCCTGCGCGAAGGCACTCTTACAGAGGGGAAGCTACGTCCAGGAATCCACCTTCGCGAAGGCCTAGAGAATTATCTCGAACCTCCAGGAAGGATTCAAGATCGCATCGGGATCGATCACCTTATAGCTCATCTTATAGATCATCCTATAGAGACTCATGTCGTCGTGCATTCTTAGAGCAAGAGATGTCTAAATCAGAGGATGAAGGTGAAGGCATATTCTCCGATACGGAAGTTAATGGCTTGGACTTATCATCACCTTCTAAGGACACAGATGAGGCGTATACCTACAAGATGTCCAATGATGATTTCGACACACTCACCTTTCCAACAATCGACCCGATCTCTCAAGTACCGGACAACCTCAGTGCAGCTTATGATAAAGCCACCAAATTCCTAGAGTCAGCACATCCCGACTTTCAACGCCAGGAAATTCCCTCTACATAGGATGGAACCCTTCCTGAAGGCTCCAGAGGTTGATGATGACGACAAGATTATCACCGACTCCCGTCAAAGAACTTACAAGATAGAGGATAAGAAGTTAGCACAGCTGGATACAACCACCAGACGTACTTTCTTCGGATTTGCCAGATTGAGGGCTATCAACGAAACACTCATCTCGAAGTTCAAGAATTCCTCGGCCAAAGAAGACTGGATGATATACTCCGCGCTACTAATGCAGAAGAGAGACCATCAGTTTATGTGGGAGCACCTAGCATCTACTTCAGCGGGCTTGACTCCACTGAGAAGACAAGGGTTATTGTCAGCATGCACTTGAAGTGAACGCTTCACCAAGTCTTTATACAGAGCCCAATGGTCAGCATCTTACATTTTCGGAGGAGGAATTGAAGAAGCCAGAGAAATCCCTCACGACTCTAGGGAAGATATGATTGTTAAATCCATCAACACCTTGGCTAACGTGATTCATCAGACGTCCCGACGCTAGTCCAACAAATCTAAGTTTGCAGGAGTCCAGAGAGCCAGAGAAAAGAAGTATTCCAGCATGAAAGGAGGAAGAGGCTCCTTTCGTCGCCCAACCGGTGCTCCTAGAGGTAACCCCAGAAGAGGCTGAGCACCTAGGGGTGCAAGAGGAATCAAGCGCTGATGGCCAGGTTCGAAACGACTGGAGTCTTCCACCCCCAGCCGTTCCTGTACAACCTTCGACAGTGGGTGGATGTCTTCAACGGTGCTGGGAGAATGGGGGAATATTACAGGACGACTACGTATCTCAGATACTATGCAGAGGGTACAAAATACAGTTGGAAGCCACTCCGCGGCTCACAAGCAACCCGGTGGCCTTCAACTATGCAGCAGACCAGATAGAGAAACTGGACGATGCTATCAAGACCCTACTCGACAAAGAGGCAATAGAAGAGATAGATCAAGATCTCATCACACCCGGGTTTTACTCCCCAATTTTCCTGGTACCGAAGAATTCCAAGGAGAAATTTCGGCTCATCTACAACATGAGGAAGTTCAACCGAGAGTATCTACGCAGACCAGCAAAATTCAAGATGATACATCTTCCTCAGCTCCGACATCTCATTCGTCCAGCAGACTACCTCGCCAGCATAGATCTGCAAGATGCGTACTTCCACATCCCGATACATCCAGACTCAAGGAAATACCTACGATTCCTTTTCAACGGACATCACTTCCAGTGGAAGGTTCTACCGTTTGGAATATCGTCGGTCCCCTGGTTGTTTACTCGAGTGACCAAGCCCATCGTCACATATCTACATCGTCGAGGTCTACGCAGTGCTTTCTACCTGGTCAACAAGATTCAAGCTCATCAAGATCCCAGTCAACTCAGACTGCAACTAGACTTCACCATCAGGCTGCTCACTCAACTAGGATGGCTAGTGAATCTCCTCAAGTCGGAACTGGAGCCGAAACAAGATCTGCAATTCCTAGGAATTCGACTCATCACACCACTGAATCGCATAGTCGTTCCAGAGGATCATTGGGTTAAGATACAACAGATGATATCTCAAGCATTGCTCTCTCCGTTGACACTACGTGCTTGGCAAAGCATGCTCGGTCTACTCACCTCAGCTCAAGACATGACTCGCAGAGGGAGATTACAGTTGCGCCCACTACAAGTATTTGTGAACGCCCCACCTAGACAGCCTAGATCCGTTAATACTACCGGACAGCCTGAAACCATATCTCCTGTCAAACGTTTGCGGAGGGACCTTTTTGTCAGAGCCGGTTTGCAACACTCATCTCTACGTGGATGCCTCCCTACAAGGATGGGGTGTGCACTTCAACAACGAAGTGGCAGCAGGAAAGTGGTCGAGTCAGGACCAGAAGTCACACATCAATCTGTTGGAGATGAAAGCAGTAATCAACGCTTTACAACATTGGTCCAGCGTACTAAAGAACGCACGACTCATGGTACACACGGACAACTCCACAGTGGCGTTTTACATCAACAAACAAGGGTCAACAAGATCAAGAAGTCTGCTACAACTCAGCTTTCTCCTGTTCAGCATAGTTGACGACCTGAGCATCTACATGAATGCAGGCCACATTCCGGGAGCAAAGAATGTCATAGCAGATGCCCTATCTCGTCCACTACAACCATCCCCCGACGGAATGGATGTTGCATCCAGAAGCATTCCAGTTCATCAGACAAACTATAGGATCCCCTCTAATAGACCTGTTTGCAACAAAGTTCAACAAACAGCTACCAGCATTCGTCTCACCGATTCCAGATCTTCAGGCATGGGCAACAGACGCTCTAAGCATCTCATGGGAAGGACTAAACGCTTACGAGTTTCCGCCTCCTGCACGACAACCACAAGAACTACAGAAAGTCAAGAAGACAACTACGTTGCAACTGATTCTGGTCGCGCCCTACTGGCCAGCGAGGGTATGGTTTCCCATCCTCATACAAGAACTCGGAAGTCCAACCCTGAAACTACCAGGGTGGTTGAACCTAATCATCCATTCATACACCAAGCAAGCTCACGGGAACCTGACACTGTTCCAACTACACGCGTGGAGCGTATTAAAGCTTGCCTGAAGACTAGAGGGTACTCCGCCAGAGCAGCGAAAGCAGTAACACTAGCTCTACGCAGATCAACTCGTACAATGACAACTTGTACAATGACAATGAGGCTTTACAGCGGTGAAAGCAACACATCCTCAAGTGGCGGAATACTTATGTCATCTACGACAGACGAGACACTTAAAAGGTTCAACACTCTCAACTTACTTAGCTGCCCTCAGTACAGTTATCACCATGAAAATGGGTATCAAGCTGACCAAAGTACCAGAGATTCTGGCACTACTACGCTCGTTCAAGTTGGAAGACCAACAAAAGAAATTTAAGGCTCCTGCCTGGGATCTCAACATAGTTTTACAACATCTCACCAGTGATACCTACGAGCCTCTAGAACGGACATCCTTTGAACTACTAACTCAGAAAACGCTGTTCCTGATCGCCCTAGCAACAGCTGCAAGGATGTCAGAAATACATGCTCTGGACTTTGAACGAACACGATTTGAATCAAGACATCGTGACATCGTGCATCTTGGACTGAGATGGGATTTTATCGCCAAGAACCAACTGCCTGGTCAGCCTGACAGACAGTTCCACATCCCAGCACTATCTACAGTCCTTGGGCCACAGGTACGCAGGATCTATCCTTATGCCCTGTCAGAGCACTTAAAGTCTACTTACAGAGAACTGAAACAAGGAGACGAAAATTCAAGCGCCTATTCATCCCCTTATCCACCGAGACGCCCACGGAAGTCTCTCGGACAACGATATCGATCTGGATGAGAGCCGTTATACTAAGGGCCTATAAAGCAGCAGGACTTGAGCCTCCACGAGCCTCCAATCCACATTAAGTCAGAGCCCTGGCGTCAACACTTGCTCTGCATGGAAACTGCTCGATTACAACTATATTGGAGGGCTGCTTTTGGAGATCGAACACAGTGTTTGCCAACCACTACCTCAGAGACATTGCCACCGAAGACGTCTCGGGCATTCACCAGTTTGGGCCACTGGTTGTAGAACAACAACTAATGGTTCCACAAAGGCGCTGAGTAAATCTCACCCCTTTTATCAACGCTCTGGAGAGCAATGGCTATAAGTCCATGCACACGTCTAGGACAGACTAGCATGAGTGATAGACCCTGTACTTGTATAGGACATACTCGTACATGAAGAAGGGTCGCATCTCCACTTGATGCGTGCATCAAGAGATGGAGTTGCAATAGATAACTAATGGAATATTGGTATATCTAAAATCCACACGATAATGTCAGGAGAAGTATCGAAAGAAATCTGACAAGTTGTGGTCCCCCCCAGACTCATCAGAGAGAAGTTGAAAGAATCTTCAACAGTGCCGTCATAAGTTCCCAAGGGGGGTAATACAGGACGTAAATCTACAACCAGTGAATCCAGAACGTGGCTTGACTCACCACCGTTTCCGACGGATTCTGCAAGCATAATTAGCATGAGTCAGGATAAGGAAAAAATATATAATATTCTGACTAAAATTGATATTTTATACTTATCCTGACTCATGAGGTTAGCCCTCCCAACCTCCCCTCTTATGGCACTCTGGATTTCCCTGTAAATCCAGGTGTCGGGCTTACATACGGAGAGAGTGACAAATACGGCCGATCATGTGACCATTTGGGCGCCAAAGGGAGGAAAGGGACGCTACTCGTGGGTGAGTGATTTTACATCCGCTTTTTTAGAAGAGAACTTCAAGGGATTTCAAGTGTTCCACTATCATTCGCAAGAGGAAGGAGACAAGCATAATTAGCATGAGTATAAAATATCAATTTTAGTCAGAAAATTACATTTTTGTAATAATTGTCATGTTACTTGTCACAAGTCCAAATATAAATGAGTAGAAATTCCCAGTCAGCATGTTGGATCTCTTGATTAATGAAACTGAAGATGTTGTTCCATTTATTAAGATAGTTGTTTCCCATGTTGTGTTTTCCAGGAGCAGAGCCTAGTGACACAAGAGAGTCCTGAGTTAAATGCTAAACATATATTTTCAAGATACGACCCAGAGGGTAAGAAACACCTGGTCATTGTATTTCAGAGAAATATGTCAGAAAATGCTGTGTTATTTGAGAAAATCTGTTTTCTTCCACAGCCATCACCACAGGCATATAATTTGTTTAAACTAGTTATTTGGCTAGATGCTGGTCTGCATGAAACAGTTTAATTTAGTAGGAGAGGATAAAATTCCTCAAACAAATCAAAATAAATAGTGCTTTTCAGTAAGTTGGGAGGAATAGTAAATTTTAGAGTATTTTTGTGTTGACAGATTTTACTTGATTGGTAAAGTATGTATTAATTGATTCTTTGAAATGAACTTTAACTTGGGATTGCATAAGTTCAAAGGAACACATAACATGCTTCATAAACCCATATGATTTAACACAGAAGTGTAATTTATAATTCATATGACTGTAGGTTATCGAAAGTGCCTAGGTGTTGCATGATAATGGGAGAAGGATTTTGACTAAACATGGTATGTTAACATTTCATCCAAAGGTTTTCAGTCATCAGAGATTTCATGGAAAAGTTTGACAATGGTGGGAAAACATCCAAATCAGTAGCAGATGTAAATTTAGAACACACTATTAGTATTGTGACACTGGAGAATTTGCTTAAGTTGCAGACGATGATCAGTCCGTCATCCATCTCCTACAAGAGTCCTTGACCTAAGGCATACTGCACTTGCAAGGTTGACTCATTTCCAAACTGTTTGTTTAGTAAAATGTTTCCAAAACATGATGGTATGCACTTGCTCAATGTGAGCTTCTGACTTCTTAGATGCCTTACTTTGTTGTTTCAGGCAATGGTTTTATCTCAACATCTATGCTGGATGAGGTCCTCAGTGCTCTAGATCTTGTCTCTGAGAAGGAATAGTAAGTACTGCAGATCATGCTGTTGTCTCTGAGAAGGAATAGTAATTGCCCATGCAAAATATATCTGCTGAGAGACTCTGCCTCTTAGCACAATGAGACCCCAGATATCCAGAAACCTCGCCTTCCAGTCCATTTTCTTTTAAAAAATCTCCTACGTTATAAAAGTGACTGTCTATAACGGATATGCGTTTTCCGTTTCCGGAAGGTAAATTTTACAAACCTATCAGCTAAATCAACACAAAATTTACTCACATCCGCAATAAACTTTGATCATCCGCTGACCGTGTGAAGTGAAGTGTGAGAGTCCCATGACACGAGACAAGGTCTGCTAACCTGGATTAATGGCCGGTCAGCAGCTAGCAGGGTATTGGTGGTGATTAGGCCTATCTGACACTGTCCATCGTGTTGCAAGGCAGCAGCACCATGTGTAAGCAGTCCTCAATGAAAGACTTTTTCAAGACAGAATAATTGTAAAGGTATCACTATGATTATTATGTTGTGATGCTGGCTTTTAACCTCTATACAATAAAGGTTTGATGATCATGAACATTTGGATTTTCCTTGAGGTGTATGAAAACAAAAAATCTGAGATATCCGGATATTCAGTTATCTGGGTATCCGGGTTCTCACTGGGCATGCACTTTTGGACAGGCTTGTCCAAAGGGTCGACCACAGTGTTCCACCTTACTTGTTCTCAATTTATTCTTTTTCTTTCTGTGGTCTGTTATAATATAATTTTCAGAAAGTATGTGTTTAAATTGTTTGAAAAATATTAAATATGAGCGTTTTTAGCTCATACTAATATCGTCATTGTGAGCATATATATTGTCCATCTTTGAATCTACCAAAACTATCTTCTGAACATAAGAATGTCATAATTCCTACGGATATGTCCCTCTAACACTTGATTGCCTCTTTCCTGCAACATGTTTCTGAATCCACTGGTTTAGCTTGAATAGGATTTGTGATGTCTTTTTTCCTACTGGTTTTCCGAGCCCTTTCTGCACTAGTTCCTGCAGAAGTGCAGGAAAACTTCATAATTTTTCCTGTGGCTCACATGAATGCCTGTATGCTCTCTGATAAATATTTTAATGTTTATCAGGTTTTGCTATCCCTCTCTCTCTCTTTTTCAATAATGGGTAAATCTAAAGGCTCTAAATTCATCTCTGCTTCCCTTTTGAGTAGGAAAAATTGTGCAGCATATGGTAAACTTAAGTGTCCGCATGCTGATTAGATGCTTCATGGGCATTTGGAAGTTGGAAGGTAACATAACAACATATGGTATGGATTTACAACTTCTTTAATATTTACAACTTGATGTTTCTGGGCTACTTCTTGCCCCTTCATCAGCACCGTTGTTCCGCATGCTGATTGTTCGGAGTGCTTTGAAACTCCTTGCTGCTTTGTTTCCCGATGTCAGTCAATATTGTCCTCTTAATTTGAGAAGTATGCGTGAGTCATTAAGAAGGGACAGGAGGGGAAGATGAGAAGAACTAAATGTCAGGACCCCTGATTCAGTACCGCTGGAAACCAAAGTTATCTCAGATATTAAGCAATATTTGGGGGAAGCTAGGCATTCCTCCTGTCCCATATGATTTGGATATATGCCTCTACCTACCACACCATAATCAACAGTGAAGCCCAAATTCATCACAGAGGAGGCATTATCACTGACTTTGAAGCAAATCGGAAACCTCTGTAAAGGACGGGCAGATTACATAACTAGTTTACTCCAGGACTAGTGAGCATAGGCATAGGAACTGGGGGGGGCAGCTGCCCCCCCATATTTTTACAAGCTGGAAACTTTTTTAGACAATTAAAAATAGACATAATAGACAATTAAACACAAATTCAAGCCTCTGGTAATGTTGAAAAAATAACATGATCAAAAACTTTTTTCCGCTAATGATAGAATCCAAATGTTTTAATTCATGTCACTCAAAAGTGAAAGTAGAGGCAGTCAGGCTGTTATTAACAGCCAACATGGATTCGAATCAGCGGTAAGTTGACAACATACATTGACATTACAGTGTAGTCTATACAGTAACATTTAGTTTACAGTAATAGCCATATTTTAAGTATAATAGGTGCTGTTTGATTTATTTATTGAAAATCTAAACAATAACATTAAGACACGATTTCAAATTCATACATTGGCAGTGAGAGAGCTGGTTTTATCTGAAAACCGAATTCATGTATGAAATAATAATGGCTGCATTATTATACCCTCGCTACGACGTAGTCGCTGGTATATAGCGCTCAGCCCGTCCGCCCGTGTGTCCGTGCGTCCGGAATGGTTTCCCTGAGCATAACTAAAAAACTATACCACTTACAAACTTCAAATTTGGCATGGAACTTACCCGTATGGTGCCATTGTGGATTTTGGCTTTCAAATGCATGATGCCAAAATTGAAAATATCTTCTCACATCAGAGAACTCTACAAAGATGATGTTGACTTTGTTCGATTGAACAAACAGCTTTCCATGCTTCATGACACAGTGAAATCTGTCTCCACTGAAAGAGGATGCTTAATCATGGAAGTCACAAATATTGATACTGTTGTATCAATTATCAACTCATCGCCTGTAATAAGGCACCTGTTCAAGGAGATAAGCACTCTTTTGAAGATCTATTTGACTATTCCTGTCACCACAGCAACATCAGAACGTACCTTCTCCACGGTTCGACGCCTCAAGTCATACGTTAGATCTACAATGACACAGGAACGTCTGAACAACGTTCTGCTACTGCATGTCCACAAAACCATTGCTGATGAACTATGTGTAGTGGATGTTACCCGGGAGTTCATTTCTTTCAATGACAGAAGACGCAACTACTTTGGACTTTTCTCATAAGAGCTGAACATTTCATGAGATGCACTAGCCTGTATAAACAGTCGATCTAGTGTTACCTGAATAATGTAATGCATTTGCTATTAATTAAAGTTTCAAGTGAACTCGTCTGTCCTTTTCATATATCTCCTCTCTCCACCCCACCCCGTTATCAATTTCTCAAATCTTGCCCCCCTAACTTTTAAACTGTACCTACGCCTATGAGTGAGGACAGCACACTTCCACCAAAGAGATCATGACTAGAGTCTAAGTCACAGTCCAGAGCAATGTCAGCTGCTGTCACATCAATAGAAGTCAATCCAGGGCAGGAGTACTGGGATTACTGGATCAGACCATCTCCATTACTTCAACTAGTCAGGATGCATCAGAGGCCAAAGACTGCACAGCCCATAGAAGCATAGCTGTCCCTATTAGTCGCAATCTACAGAGGGAAAACAGGATCAGCTCTCAGCAGTATGGACTGCACAGGCAGTGGAGTCAACCTAAATTGCACAAACTGCACTTACCACAGCCATATAGATGCCCGTCACATGAGTCAGGACTGCTCAAACTGCACAAACTGCACACACAGCAGAGAATGCATGTCCAAGATACAGTTGGTCCTAACAGAGAGGGCAGTGATAATGGTCTTGGATCTATGGAGAGCTTGTTGGACCTTATGAGGAAAGATTTAGTGGACCACAACTTGGGACGTTATACATTTGCCGACAAGTTTGCTGCATAAGAAGCTTTCTTTCCCGACCCTGTGCCGCCATTACCGGATCGTGAGGATTTAGGAGTTGCGATACAATGGCTGGAAGCATCGTTATTTAACATCAGGACCAAGGGGAAGCTTCTACTGTCCTCATTTCTGACAAAGATCAGTTAGCACGTTAACTCTTGTATATTCTCTCAAGTACCCTGTTCACGTGGGCTGGAACATCCTTTAACGAAAGGATAGTTATAGCTCTGACAAATTGTCATCAGTTGACAAAGGCTTTGTCAAGGTTCTGGAACATCCAAGAAGAGTGTATTCAGGACTTCTTACAAACACCTTCCAACATCGTAATAATTATTTCATCTCCAGGATTAGGAAGATGTTTCCATCCACCAAAGACTTTGACGCAGCAGAGGATCCATCCTTTCATCAGAGCAACTAGTGCCATTTTTGACATGTATCATGGATGGACATTCTTGTATTGGACAACTGCCTGGACAACAGCCACACCATGCTAAGTTACCTTTTAACTTAGACCCTTGTGTAACTTGAATCTGCACCTGTTGTCTTGTACTTGGTGTATTTCTGACTTCACAGGATGGACCAAGGATAGCATCTGTATCAGAGATTGTCTTCTGTTGGAGTTCCAACCTTATCGAAGGAGAGGAAATTCACCTATTTAGCTTTGTAGTCTGGTTAGCCTTATAATCTGACTACAAATCGATGTGAATGTGCACAACAGATGATTGGGTAGTTAATCAAGAAAACAGACATGGTTTTGATATGCCACATGGGATTTCTTGAAACATGGATCTTTGTCTGTTGACTGCCAATCACAGCTACTGGCGACAGTCTAGTTGAAGGGAAATATGAAGATATGCGTCCAGAAGATCAAGGCTCATAACCCAGTCTCCCACCCTGAGTGATGTAGTTAGTTTCTTGACAAGTTCCATTTGAGTCTTGTTTTAAAATGGTACAAGGTAGTCTTTGTTGAGAAATTACAAAACCATTATCACACACATGTCCAACTGATTATTTTTTGGCACTATGAAGACTGGTGAATTAAACCTCAGCTGGAGTTTGTCTCCCTTGTCTCATCAAGTCCAGGGACCAATTATGCAGCAGCCAATTTGGGACCCCTCACATGAATTGATGATCCACATCCTGGAATACATCTACTGAAGTCAGATGGAAGTGCAACTAGTGCCTTTTCCCATCAACTTTAAGTGTCCAGCATCCATAATGTGCAGTTAGTTGTTGGCGTAAGCCATGAGATGTTTTCCCACAGGTATTGCAGTCACTAACTAACAGGGTTTCTTGAACTTGTGTTACTTTGTATGGCCAATTCCTCTGCCTCTACAGATAGGTTTTTCTCCCTTGCCATAGCATGGTTGAAATGTAGGGCTCTGTCTATTGTCAGCTTATAAAGGGCATAATGCAAGGGTCCATGCAGGCGTTCAAACAGAGTAAGTAGATTGTGGCTTTACTTGTACACTTAGGTTAACAGATCTTCCTGCATTTTTAGAATGCTCTCCAATGCTATGTTGATGAAGCCAAATTTATCTAGCTCCTTTCCAATAGCAAATCTCCTGTCATATGGTTGTAACTCCTGTTGTAAAGCAGTTGGCAAAGTCAGCTTCAACATAAACGTTATTCATTTGTCTTCTGCTGTCATTGATCATTGGATCAGAGCAGCACACCCTTCCATTCCATTTCGAGCTCTTCAAGGTGTCAGTGAATGAACTACTATGTCCGTGTGGTGCGGTTTAGTTTTCATTCCTAAATTCAAACTGGGAAATTGTCTTCACTAGCCCCTATATTCGGGATATCTACATCACTACCTGAACTTTCCCCTCTTTAAGAAGTAGCAATGTCTGTCAAGTTCTGAAATGTGATTATTTTCTGCCTTCTTTACCCAAGTGGGTTTTATGCTATTTGATTGAAAGAAGACACAGGGGCTTTCCAGAGATAACAATAAACCAACTCCTTGGAAGTCCAACTTTCAGATCCACAAGTTATTTGACAGAAATCAATTTGTACGATGCCCAAAGGATGTTATGTGACTGCTATCAGCTGTTGATAGACAAATGGATCTGAGCACGTCATTATCTTGGATAAAGTTTGAAAAAGTGCATAAATGTAGTTATGAATTTTACACTTATATGCAATATTTAATACTCACATGGGATATATTGCCCAACTGTCCAACTCCATACAGGATCAACTCATCTATACTGTACCCTAGCTTCAGAAGATAACAGGGCGGTGGGGTAGCCTAATGGTTAAAGCGTTGGCTCGTCACCGCCGAAGACCCGGGTTCGAATCCCCACATGGGTACAATGTGTGAAGCCCATTTCTGGTGTCCCTCGCCGTGATGTTGCTGGAATATTGCTAAAAGCGGCGTAAAACCAAACTCACTCAGTCACTCAGAAGATAACGAGGAAGACTTGGAGCAGGCCTGACTCTCCACCGTGTAACCAAACTGAGTTACCTCCCCTTGAATGCAGACTTTCCTTCTCATCTAGCTTTAAAAACGTCTGCAAAGCATATTATCCTTTAAATCTTTAATTTTTTTATGTTACCTTGTAGTTTGCATGACAATTTCTTTAAATCTTTTACCTCATGGCCATTAGTTCTTTGTGACTAAAGAAAAGAAACTTGTCATGAAATCAATCATTTAGTATGATCATTGTGAACATAAAGGGGAGCGTGTCTCAGAAAGCTGTGGAAAGCCACTGATACTGCTGCAACTTTTTCTGCCACCACTGCCACCAACATGACTGCTTGTGCTTCTTCAACTGTGAAGAGCCTCGGGATGAGGAGTTTGAGCTGTTGTTGGAGGGAGGCGGAAGGGATAGTACGATCGTTAGGCTCTTAGCTTGTTGTTTGACATTTATGAAAGTCAGTGGTCACCAGAAAATACATATATAAACATCAGTGTTTATTTGCAAAATGTTTTAATCTTTCATTTGAAAACATTTCTCATACTACTCAAGAGTACTACAGCCTTTTTTCAAATACTAATTGGTTTTGTGCATTTATGATTTCACTTTTTCCCCTACAACCCTTCTGTGTCTCTTCTCTGACTTAAACTTATAGGTTGTACAATAATACATCTTACATAAATTTAGTGAGATATGCATTAATTGCTTTAGTGCACAACAGCACCATGTCTTTCTCGTTCATGTTAGACACAGTTTTCAAAAAATGGATTCAGTTTATGTTTGAGTTTTTATGCTGTGGTTTTCTAAAAGGATGATTATTTACCAAAAGAAATCACTGACACTAAAATGACATGGATGGATGTTAAATGCTCATAATGTGAACCGCTGGAATGTCTGGTAAAGAGTCAGTTATTTATAGAATGGAATATTGTTGAGAATCTTTATGCAATTGCTGAATGTGGTGTGAAACAATAAACAAACACTTGTTTTTTCTAGAGTTACCTGGTGATGAAGAAACAAAATTTGCTTCATACATGACACCTCAATCTTAACATTTAACTGTCACTATATCCAAAGATGCAAAAATATCACTGCGATCAGCCCTTGTCAACATATGTGTTGCTAAATGTTAAGGAAGAAACATATTCCCATTGGTTCTCATATTCTGTTCCAACGTGTCATGTTCACATAGTGTCCACAGGCAGTATACAGTAATATACACTGGTCAGGTGACTTTATGAGTGATCAGGTTCTGTAATTTCGTTGATTAGGCATCATTCTACCTTAATTCCCTGACCATTTCTCACAATAACGATCACTGCCGCCATATAGCTGGAATAGTGGAGTCAAACAACAAACATATAAACACTGTATTATTACTTTACAAACATATGTTTGAACGGGTGTTGGAGATAACAAGCCTTATACCTGTGTACTATTACAGTTCAGGCCAGTGTCATCACTGCTACCAGACTATCAGTAATAATTTAACTGAACATTTCCAGTAAGATGAAGAATCATATAATATGGTGTTACGTCCTTGATAATATTTCATTATATTGTCTTTCATCCATTTGAAAAAAAACCCAGTTTTGTTGAAAACGTAATCTATTGAAATTGTTGTATGGTTTCTTTTATTAATTCTGTTTACCAAGACAAGAGAAATTTAAAGGAAGAAATTTGTGCAAGTGAAAAGTGGTCTCGTTAAATTCAGGTCTTAGGTCTCACTATATCCAAACAAAAGTCAGAGGGCATACCATTACAGGTAACTTTAGAATGACCTTTGGCCAAGTCTGACCAACAGATGAACCTACAAATGGTAAACTAGAGCTATGCAGCTCTAGTTTTAAACTGGCAAATTATTTGTAGACTATGCTTTATATTTTTAAAATAAACAAACTAACATTGTAGACTCTAATAGGTATCAGGTTTGTGTGGCAGTACTTGCCACAGGCTATGTAAAGTCTCCTCTATTCTAATGTTTATCCCAATCAAATGTGAGTAAGACATTGATTCTGAAAGATTCATTCATAGAAACTACAGCTGCCATTCAGAATACCTTTTATTGACCATTTCAAGGCAGCATGATTAGAAAACACATTCTAACTGTTACTTTATCAATCAGGAAAGCAAACCTCTGATTGGTGAGATGAAATTTCCTTCAGATGTGATCAGAAATAATATATCCTCTGATATTTGTTCTACATCTGACTTTTGATTTGATTGTGAATTGTGTCATTATAGCCATGTAAATTTGAATCATTTAAAAAAAGGATGTTTTAAACTTATTCTTCATTCCTAATCTAAAATTCTTGTGTTAACTGTAATGACTAAAGATGTTTTTATTTGTATTTTGTTACAGTGTTGATATAATGAAGACAAAATTAGATGCCGAAAACCTTGGCATCATAACCCAACACAGTTTCATGCAGGAATTCTTTCCGGGACAGGTTATACAAGATGTTCCTAGGAATTTCACCCTGTTTCACTACAATGGCCTTGCAAGGTCATGCTCCCATGGAAAGGTAAGCCCAGACTCATTTGACTGTTGCGTAGGATTTGGCAGAGTGACAGCATCATGGCATGAACATAATGGTATTGGTCTGAATATGAAGAACATGACAATGTCAGAACATATCCCTGATATAGAGCTTATTCCACGAGCAAATGTGTCATACGACTTACACAAAACGAGTGTGAAATTTTGTACTGCCCGAGCTAGAGCGAGATAGTATTGGGTTCACCACCATCAGACAGAAACTAAATATCAGTAAAGGCAGTGCAACATCTAATTTTCCCTCTAATTCGAGACTGTCCATCAATGGAAATTGTCTTAGTTCAAGTCAGAACTTTTCAGCAAGCAACCTCTCATCGGACATGATTTGTGGTGACTGCTAGGTTTGAATAGCAACAATCGATCAGTTTGCCACTAAAACATGAAACAATGCAGTGGAAGGTAAGGAGAAAAATGCCTAGAAAAAAACATACCTAGCCATTTCTACATCAGTAAATAAGGCATTCTGTCTGGTGTAACATTAAGTTGATGATGGATATATATTTATTATACACATCTGCATTCACTAATGATTGAAAAAGTAATATTTGGGAAATACGAAGGAATTATTATTTATACCCTGACAATAATTAGAATTATGCCAAATGGAAATCAACCATATATCAGTCACAAGTCTTCCCAGTTTGAAATTAAGGATAACACTATGTGTTATGACAGGTGTTGATAACTCAATTGATTATTTATTTAAGCTTTCTGATACTTGTACTCTTCAAGTAGTTTAAAATTAGAGAGATTTATTCTGAAAAACAAGACATCACACCACCTACTCCAGAAGATGTGAATCATTATTGTTATTATCCCCTGCCGCGTGTTAAGCGCGAAGCGGGGGATATAGTATTAGGCTACGTCCGTCCGTCCGTACGTACGAATTGGAATATCTTAAGAACCGTTCACTAGATTCTTTTCATATTTGGTACCTAGGTTCATCACACTATAAGAAAGGTCCAAATCAGGTTTGGTGACCTTGACCTTCATTTCAAGGTCACATGGGGACTTTAACGTTTTACCTGCATGTTAAGCTATCTCAAGAACCGTTCACTGGATTTTCTTCATATTTAACACCAAGCTTTATCCAGGGAAGGCGCAGGGCCCAGTCAATGTTGGTGACCTTCACTTAATTTTCAAGGTCACAGAGACACTTTGAAGATTTCAGCATATTAACCTACATGTTATGCTTGTCAGCGAGATACCTCAAGAACCATTCACTGGAGTTTCTTCGTATTTGACACCGAGCTTCATCCAGGAAGGGCGCAGGGCCCAGGGCCCAGTCAATTTTGGTGACATTCACTTAATTTTCAAGGTCACAGAGACACTTTGAAGATTTCAGCATGTTAAATTGCTTGTTAAGATAGTCAGCAAGATATCGCAAAAAATATTCAGTGGATTTTCTTCATATTTGACACCAAGCTTCATGTAGGGAAGGCCCAGGGCGCAGTCAATTTTGGTGACCTTCACATACATTTTAGGGTCACGATGATGCTATGAAGATTTCAGAATGTTAACCTGAATTGTCAGCAAGATATTTTAAGAACGGTTCACTGTATTTTCTTCATAGACTTTCAAGACCTCCCTTGATTGTTTTTCAATAAGCAATTTCTTTAGTACTAGTTTTGCATATTTCATACACTATGACATTCATGTCAAGGTCAAAGTCAGTCTTGAAAATATGTGTGTGTTTGAACAACTAAAGGGCAAGGTAATGTTTTTGTTGACATTTAACTTCATCTTAAACTTTCATTACTTTATAAGTTTGATTTGATAATTTGCGGCGGGGGATTATGTCACCTTAGTGACAATGCTTGTTATAGGATATCTATATCGTGCCCATATTCACGCAACAAGTACATGCTCAAGGTACTTGAGTGTAAACGGATGTCTTTTTTATGGCGTTCTTTTAACCAACTCAACACCCTAGGGAGTATTCAACTCATGCAGCCTGTTAGGCACAACGAGTTATCACACAGCCATGTCCTCACAAGGTACCCATTTTGCAACTGGGTAAACTGGGACACATAGTCACAGAACCTTGTCCAAGTTTACTGCACTCTACTATACCTGCAAGTAGGTGTCTGCACATGTTCGTGTGTCCACCATCTGGTCACCTACCAATCGGATGAGTGGGTTCTTTTTAGTGCACAGTTGTGTACTGCACACTAGGGGTTGTGACAACACTGAAAGAGCCGGCAAGTAATGTTTTTTTCACACCTGGTCACAAGTGGGGATCAATCCAGGCACCTTTTGCTTTCTAGCACGTCACCTTAGACAGCCCGCCCACCATGCCCCATGAATGAAACATACATGCATATGCTATTTGTTGCTTGTTTTGGTAACATATGTTAACTAGTTACGTATTCTCTTATATGTTTAGCAAGAATCTGCCTTTACAACAAATGTTATTTTGTTTTACATGTACTTTCTGCTTGCCAGGTTGTTTATCAAGAGGCATCAGTGAGACTAGAAGATGAGTTAGAAGTACAGATAGTAACTGATACCTCTCCAGTCAAGTGCTGTTTGCAGACAAAATGGCCAACAATAGAACTGACATGGAAGTCTGGTTACACTCCCTCCCTGAACTGATCAGAAACCTCTTGTTGAGGTGGATGTTAAGTTGCTGCTCAACGTCGGGTGTTTCATGGAGATCTGAAGCCATGTTGTGTAATTGATGATCTGTCATTGCTGGCAGCATGTGACCAACAGAGAAGGAGGGTAATGGTTAACTTGCCGGCTTCCTCAGAACAACACTCACAAGAAGACAAGGAGACAGATCCTGTACCAGAATTCCTGTACACATAGCTGTTTCACTAAAGTCTTCCAAGCACACTACAATAATCCTCACCCCTAAAGGCTGAATGTCAGGGCTGAGAACAGAATACTGTTTTGGGGTGGTATTACATCACAGCCTGTTTGTGAAACAATGTTATAACTACTGAATTGTCTTTTAAATTTGGACAAGTTTACTACAGCAGTTCATTTCAGCATTTTGTTGTAGTTAAATAGCACTTGTCAAACTAAAATGTGATGTTAGTATCCAGCCTGCAATACCTAGTGTAGTGAGAAGAAAGATTTCCATCTTGTTTGTCAGATACAGAATATGCCTTATTGCGTGACACACATGGTCTAGAGCAAAATATTCAGTGTATCATAATACATAAGTTATTCTGTTGTTATTCTTATGCATGTATTTTTGTTGAAACATTTTATTAATTATGAATCAAACCTAGCACAGTGTCATATGATCTGAGAAAGTAAGAGATTTTGTCTTCACTTGTGATTGAAATACACTCTGTACATCTAGGCCAGTTTCTCACTGTTATGATCAATAAAGGGCAAAATTTATTTTTCTTGTAATCAATTATGAATAGCTTATTTATATGGGAATGAATTTAAAAAATGTGTGGCATGTTTTCAAGGTAATGAAATCAAGGAACAGATTGTTTGTACTGCAATCTTAAACCAATCTCATTGGTTACTGATATGTTGTTGCTGACTACTTTCTGTGAGAGGTCATAGTATTCTGTTTGACATTGCACCTCATTTATATGATTTGAATACTGAGGTTGTTAGGCAATCCATCATTTGTCTGTATGTTGGGTGTCGTATTTTCAGCTGGAGACACTGTTAACATTCATGGTTAAATTCCACTACTCTGTTCTTGAAGGATAGAAATGGTAGGCCCTTGAAGATCAAAGGTACTTGACGTAGAAGAGTATTTCTTTATAATAATGTTTCGATATACACTAACAAACGAAGAGCTTCAAGGACAGACCTCGTCTGCAGCAAGAATAACTTCATGATACTCATTATTTTCTAATTCTGTTTTGATTGTTTACTCTTAAAGTAAGTGCATCTATGTCTTCAAACTTTGTACAAATATTTTACAGCAGTAAATATTCTTTTACATCTAAATTTGTGTTGATTGTTTTTTCATTTACAATAAAAATGTGCTGTCATAACTTCTTGTTTAACATGTCAACCAATCATTTGTGTGCAAGAGTTAGATTGTTTATTGGCTTATAATGCAGGGAGAGATGGTAGCCAGTGTGTATTGTTTATTCTCTTATAATGCAGGGAGAGATGGTAGCCAGTGTGTATTGTTTATTCTCTTATAATGCAGGGAGAGATGGTAGCTGGTGTGTATTGTTTATTCTCTTATAATGCAGGGAGATATGGTAGCTAGTGTGTATTGTGTATTATCTTATAATGCAGGGAGAGATGGTAGCCGGTGTGTATTGTTTATTCTCTTATAATGCAGGGAGAGATGGTAGCCAGTGTGTATTGTTTATTCTCTTATAATGCAGGGAGAGATGGTAGCCGGTGTGTATTGTTTATTCTCTTATAATGCAGGGAGAGATGGTAGCCAGTGTGTATTGATTATTCTCTTATAATGCAGGGAGAGATGGTAGCCAGTGTGTATTGTGTATTATCTTATAATGCAGGGAGAGATGGTAGCCAGTGTGATTTGTTTATTCTCTTATAATGCAGGGTGAGATGGTAGCCGGTGTGTATTGTGTATTATCTTATAATGCAGGGAGAGATGGTAGCCAGTGTGTATTGTGTATTATCTTATAATGCAGGGAGAGATGGTAGCCAGTGTGTATTATTTATTGGCTTATAATGCAGGGAGAGATGGTAGCCAGTGTGTATTGTGTATTATCTTATAATGCAGGGAGAGATGGTAGCCGGTGTGTATTGTTTATTCTGTTATAATGCAGGGAGAGATTGTAGCCAGTGTGTATTGTGTATTATCTTATAATGCAGGGAGAGATGGTAGCCAGTGTGTATTGTGTATTATCTTATAATGCAGGGAGAGATGGTAGCCGGTGTGTATTGTTTATTCTCTTATAATGCAGGGAGAGATTGTAGCCAGTGTGTATTGTGTATTATCTTATAATGCAGGGAGAGATGGTAGCCAGTGTGTATTGTTTATTCTCTTATAATGCAGGGAGAGATGGTAGCCAGTGTGTATTGTGTATTATCTTATAATGCAGGGAGAGATGGTAGCCAGTGTGTATTATTTATTGGCTTATAATGCAGGGAGAGATGCTAGCCAATGTGTATTGTTTCTGTCCCCTGTGTTATAATGCACCATGGTTATCCATACTTTTTAATTTCTTAGCCCCTGGTGTATAATGCAAGGAGGTGAAGTTATCAGTATTGGTCATGATGCATGAAGTTTTCAGTCAGCAGATAAATACAATTAAATATTAATTTCTGTGAGAGGTGCTAAAAGCGCAACGGCAATAAGATTTTCTGATTACCCAGATTTATGCTCCAAATGGCTTTCAGTCTTTTAATTGAATTGTATCTCTTGCTATTAAACAGAACACAAGACCTCACACTTCCAATAAAGAAATTATCAAACATGCCCAACCCTGTTCTGCCTATCCCCCACCCAACATCACTTGACAGGAGCTGTACATCGCAGTCATATTTTCTTAAACTGGGATTATCACTTCCAATTTTGTCATTTTTGGCCGGCGTGCAAGATTTGTTTGCAGTTTTGAACATGGCTGTCTATGGGATAGATTAAAATTACGTTATACTTCTGGTGCTTACTCAGGTGTCATTCGTTAACTTATCAACGGAAAGATGAAAGGAAATTATGTTCAAGTAGCTGAAGATGATTTACAAGATGTTTGCAAACTATCAAAAGAAAATGACTTCTACTCAATTTATGAAAAATATTCTTGCAACAGTTAATTATCATGTAAGTCTATGGAAATTTCACTAATGATGACTTGCTTATGTCCAACTACTGTACTTCTCGTTGGATGGCTGATAACCCTTGAGAATTTCCATTAGTTCATTAGTGGCCACTATGCCACAACGGGAGACGGTGATTTCGTAGACTGAACCAGTTCGTAGACGCGGTGGATTCGTAGCCCAGACTGGTTCGTAGACGGTGATTTCGTAGACGTGTATTAATAATTGAATAATAGTATATATTAAGTTTGATTTTTACTTAGATTGTGTAGTGAGCATCTCTTACAGGTGAAGTCCATCTGCAGGTGCCCTTTCGTCATCTGGCGGTAGGTAGCGATGTCGATCCCTGTGTCGCAAAGGCGATGCTGCCACTGATCGCAGCTGTCGCACTGGATGGCATGTTGTCTAGGACGCACTTCTTTCACACATTCAACGCATAGAGCCATGGTTGATGCTGAATGATTTCTTCTTACCTTCTTGAGATTTATATACCATAAGTGTTTGTACAGGTAAACTTTGTCGGCGGATCAGACAAAATTAGTCTACTCATAATTTCCCGACTGTTTTCATTGTTGTGGGTGGATTAACAGGTTTCACTGAGTTGTTGTGAATGTTAATTAGTAAGTGGTGAGTTGTTTTGATTGCGAAATACTGTGTGTAGGAGATGTAAGTGTTTTCTTAAGAAGTGTTTTCTGCTACTTCTCTGCTGGTCTGCGTAATTGAATGTTGAATGACGATACTTACCTCTTACCTAATACATATCTTTTGGTTTAAACAAACAACATTTATGCGACGCTGTTTTTTATTACTAAGATAATCAATATTAAAATCCCCCCGTAATTACCATATCTATGTCTAAATCAGATGCGTTTCCGACATATCAATAAGATCCCAGTAACGATTACTCTTAATTCAGCACGGTAGAAAGTGACGATCAAGGTATGATGATTTCTACAAGTAACTTTTACCCACACTGATTCTATGCAGACACCTTTCGGTTACATTAAAGTCATAATATCGATTTTCATCATCATTGAGGTTGAACTTTTCCCATTTTACTAACGTCTACGAATCCACCGCTCAATCCGCCTACGAATCCACTGGATTTCAACGTCTACGAACCAGTCTGGTCTACGAATTCACCTACACAACGGCAAGTCATTGCAAAGTCCCTTTAAAAAATTATCCAGGCTCTGATATCTCTTTCGTTGGCGGCCGTCTGAATGATGGAGAATTTTTCCTTGGTCGAAACAGCACAAAACTCTCTCCTAAACCTCAGATCGTGTTGACACGAACACTGGGGATAGTTAGCCGAGCTGAGTCTGATCGTTTCGGCTCGGGGAACTGATTTCTTGTATGTTCACCAGTTGATGATGCCAACTGAAAAATATGAAAATGAACTGGCGGCGTTTATGTAATTTTAGCTATCACCTTGTCAGTGTATCATGTTTCGGGACTGGTTAACTCACTGAGGCGCATTTACACTTCGTCCAGCGAAGAGTGCCAACAGTAACGTTACCCACCATCCGCCTGTGTGCATAAATTGGCTCTATTTGTAGTGCAGGATGAGTTAAAATTATATTATATACATACCAACAGTTACGTAAGTATTCTTCCCACCCACTACAGTGTCATTCCTTTGAATGTGCTTCATGGCTTTCAAAGGAAGGGTCGTGTGCAGCTTGGGTCGGGTAATACCGCGTGTGTGCGTGCGCAATTTGTTTTGAAACTCTTCTCTTTGGGATTAATTACAATGTAATTACAATATAAAGGGTCGAACCACTTAGCGTTACCTCTGTTAGTCAGCGGGAGAAAGAATAGGTGGGAACGGAAGGAACTCTTTCCGTAACAGAATCTATAGGGTATTGTTCCATAGTGGTTAGGAAGTACTGGTTTCAGCGCATGTGATGATGGTCACCACTGATCACGATGCGAGTCTGAATTAAGAGTTTCCGTTTTTTCAGCAGAAGAAATTTTCAATTTCTCAGAGGTAGTTACTTGATGTTTTCTGTCATTGCTCCACCTCTCAAAATATTTTTTTACAGTTGATTTTGATTCAATTTATAGTAAAAGACACGAAACGACATCAAGAACAGTGTACGTGATCAGCCGGTGATATGCATGCATAATGCTTGCTCCATGTAAATGGAGTATACTTTGTCCGTAATTACCTCACACTCACATCTTGGTCCAGGATTTTTAGCCTATAATGTGTAATGTGTACATGAGCGATACTCGTATATTGATTTTACCCTATTCCTATGATATGATATAACATCGCTGTGTTGGTTGTCCCCCGAGCTGATGAGGATGCTAAGATGTACAGTGATGTGTGCATATATCATTCCTGTTTTGTTTGTACCCTTATGTAGTTAATGCAATAGTACTCAAAGTTATTGTGACACACATACACCAAACATAATCAGTATTAAACGCGAGTGTAACGCTATTACATAGAATATGCCCTGCTACTTGCACGTTTCGTGCAATTCGAACAACAGCTTGGATGCGTTTCTTTGACCATTTTAATACACTCGAATTCAGAAATTGGTTTCTAAATATAACCGATGGAAAAGTCTTCCTCTGATTCTGTGCGCAGTGATGTGTGTGTGCCAATGCTGATACTACAAGTATAAGTACAGTGATATATACACCCGTGCATTAATTAAGCACCACCCTATTTTGATAATAAGATGTGATGCTACAGAAAAGTTAGGGTATAGCCATCAATTTATTCAACCTATAGTTAAAGAAGCTGTATCCATTGACGGTTTTACAAATACCATAACCTTTTCTTTTCTTTATGAAAGAATATGTTGATGAAAATGTGGTGGGACTGAATTTTTACCCAAAATAACTATTTCTCTCCTGCTCAAACTACACAATTAAATATAGTTTTGACTAAAAATAACAATTCTGTTACATACAAAGATGACATTTACACATCAAGTAAGCTTTAGTTATGCATAATCAGGAAGAACCCGAATGTCAAAGATTCAGACCTTTTCCCAACAATTCAGATTGCTAATTGACAAAAACTTAAGAAGGCCACATTAATAAGATTTTGGAATAAATCTTTTATGATTTTGAGTTTATTGTATTGAATAAACACTTCTCCTTGCCTGATACTCATAATTACAGCTAAAATCTGTTTGTTTTGTTTGTAAAGGAACGTTTACTGCGTTCTAAAATTTTACTTTTTT